GAAAGTGACCAAAATACAACGTCCAGCCAACATCTTAAACCAACGTCATATTGGCCTCAAATACTGACATTTATTCGTCAAGTATAGCAACCAAAATCCAACATCTGATAGACGTCACAGTGGTAACGTTCACACAACGTCAAGCTGTAACATCAACAAAATGTCCTGATGTAGTTCATTATGATAAAATTTACCTTATATGTGCGATCAGATTGGACGGGAATCACAAGACTGATTTTTCTAATCCCCATAGACAAGTATAATTGAAAAAAAGTAGTGGAGTAATAGTACCGATATTGCACTAAAAATTTACTCAAGGGAAAGTAAAAGTAGACATTAAAACTACTCAGTAAATTACAATTACTGAGAAAAGATACAGTAATTTGAGTATTTGCAATTTGTTACTTTACACTGCTTTAAATTGCATTATTAGAAAAACAATTCTATTTCCAAAAGTAAAACTTGAGTTCACTTATTAACAACCAGCTTTTTAAATGTTACCATCCTAATGATAATATATATGTCCTCTCTGACTCTCTGATACTGTATGTGATATCAGAGCAGGATCATTTGCATGAATGAACAACAGCGCATGCTATGAGTCTGGCTAGCAAAAGGAAGTAGTCTGAGATTTGTTTAGCAGAGATAGAAATGAACGTCCGCTCTCCGTGTACCATCTGCGCAGCTCTCGACAAACTAATTGTTGTGATGCTAAGCGATTCTGAAAAGCTGATGCCGCCCGGGAGCTAATTGACTACTGATGATCATCACCGGAATGATTGGAACAAACAAGCTGACTCAAAGACACACACACACGCAGTGCTAGGAGACCAAACAGTCTCACAATACACTTGATGCTAAACGCTCCAACAATAGAATTCTATAACACATGCAAGGGCATCCAAAACAATTATACCTGTCTAATGTTTCCAAACCATCCCCGTTTTTCCGGTTCTGCAGCCTGTAAAAGCATTCCCCTGTTAAGAACTACTCTTCAATCCCTGCTAAAAACACACGCTCTTACCCGTTTGACAGAGTTTCTGCCTCTCTTGACATTTTCATCTGGTACAGTGAGATCGAGGAGAGAAGGAGACACGAAAAGGAGACGCAGAGTACTTCACAGTGTGTGTAAGAACAGGCCTTCGCTTTGGCTCCTGTCAGCAGAACAGCAGCTTCCCTCTGGCTACAGCACACACACATTAACGCGCACACACACACACTCTTTCACTCACTCACTCAAGCTGCAGAGAGGACAGAGGGGAAAGGAACGCAGAGCTTAATAAGATTGGGATGACTATCACACAGAGAGAAAGTGAATATTCTCATTGCCTCTTTTTCCTGATCTCCCTGCCTACACACACACACGCATACACAGGAACACACGCACACACCACCACAGCCTCCTCCTCTTCTCAGTATCACCCTCATCCTATACACTGCATCCTGGGCTGTGATTGGTCAATGGTAAAACGGAGGTGGTTTCAACTTTAAGGCTCCGCCTACAAATGTTTGTGAAGTGGACATCACGCTTCTGTGGTCAAGTGACAATCTGAGCTCCACAGCAGTCAAAAACACTCGATACAATGACAGGCCTGTAAATCAGTGGAGATCATGAGACACTGAGGACAGCTGCGGACCGCAAAATCAGCACAAGGAAGTGACATGGCCTGTGGCGTGTTCGGGAGAAAGGGAGAGTCAGTTAATATAAGAAATGCTTCTGTTTTAGTATATATCGTGGAAGCACATGATAAAGCTGATTGGCTGATAGGACCACAGTGAGCTGTGATGCTAAAGTCAGCAGGCAGGGGAAAAACTGAAATCTTAAAAAATAAATCAGCATAAAAGCATTTGACTTTCACTGTTAAATGAATGTTTGCTCTTTGAAGATCTTGCAAAATGATTCAAACTATTTTTTAGATGTTTTTAGATGCAATTGTTGTTAGTACAAATTTAAATAACAGTTTTGTCCTATGAAACACATTCAAATTTAATTTATTCCTGCATGTGAAGGCAAAGCTAATTTACTCTGAATGACTCTATTTATCAACATCACAGGCAACTTTGCTGCTAAACATTTTTATAACAGAAACAGTTATGAATTAATAATGAATAGAAACTATATTATATACAGTTGAAGTCAGAATTATTAGCCCCTTTACGCTATATATTATGCTTTGATAGTCTACAGAACAAACCATCGTTATACAATAATTTGCCTAATTACCCTAACATGCCTAGTTAACCTAATTAACCTAGTAAAGCCTTTAAAATGTAATTTTAAGCTGTATAGAGGCGTCTTGAAAAATATTTTGTCAAATATTATTTACTGTCATGATGTCAAACATAAAACAAATCAGTTATTAGAAATTATTTATTAAAACTATTATGTTTAGAAATGTGTTGAAACAAATAAACGGGGGCTAATAACTAATCTAACTTCAACTATATACTATATATAGACTTTCTCTGGGTCTATAGTTATGTGTTTGATCAAAACGCAAATTAGCTTTATTCTGTGAACTACTTTATTCTGTGAACAACTTGTTATTTCTTCCAAATATAAAATAAAAGCTAGCATTTCGATCACTTTTTGTTAATAAAAATAAAAAGATGTAATGTTTTTTTGACATCTTTATATGAATTTAGACAAAACAATACCAAATTCCCTTTAAGAAAAGTATTTTTACTTGGTGAGCATCTTTGAAACCCCTCTCGGGCAATGTGGGTTGTTGCTAGATCAGATATGCTTGTTCGGAAGTTAATAGGAAAATTTATATTAATTATTAAATGTCCTTTTTATTGTATTTTGTAAACATCTACCCGTACCGTCACAGTGATGTAAAAACAGTAGTCATACAGAGTATTATTTATGTTATTCCTTAAACTACCCAATAATTTCTATTTTATTAAAGCCTACCCCCACCCCAAACCTAAACCCATCACAGTACTGTAAATATATGATTGTTATACACGGTTAATAAATTTTGCCATATTAATGTACGTATTCACAAATGTATCCTATCTAGACTTTATCTGCAGTATGCTCGGGCATTCTGTCTAAATGGGGAAACATCAAATTTTCCCAAACTGTTTGTCAAGCTTATGATTACGTTACATATTTGGAGTCACCAATAAAATTAAACAACAACTGTCTCATAAGTTTCGTTTTCTAAACGTTCAAATCAAACAAAATCAGCATATTTTTCAGGTTGCCTGAGCTAATGCGCATGCGCACTCAAAAGGAACGAGATCACAACACCAACCCCATTTATTGCCGTTCTACACTATCATCCTCTGGATAATGATCGTCTGATCGCGCTGCTTTTCTAAAATAATTTGCATCTTGGTCTTGATGGCTAATCTCATCCAGAAATAACAGTGATTCTTTGTTTACAAGTTTGTGGGTGTTTGAGTAGTTGCTGCTGTCATGTGATGTGCATTTGACAGGACGAACTGTACCTCGTTCATTTCACACAGATTACAAAACCAAAAAAACTTTTGTTATAAAATGCACTTGGTACATTTTTCAGCTTTATGTGGATATATTTCTTATGTCTGTAAAGCAAGTATTCGCTAAGATTGATCACTAAAAAAATTGTCCAAAAAGCACATCAGGACTGAGGACCTGGAGAAACCTCAGTCTATAGCAATCGATGATGGTCTCCTGTATTAGTAGGCGGGGCTTCATTCGCTACAGTGACCGTTATACTTTTCCTCATTCAGAACTATACGAGTGACACATATTGTGTATTTTATACAAAGAGCTTAGAATGACCAAGGGGCGTCACTCAATAGAACGTTCCATTGCAACAGCAGCGCCCAGCAACAGCCCCGGATTCCGCCATTTTGGAGTGAAAGCGATCGGCTGTCCATTGGATCTTATTGCTGTTGCGATGGCAAGCAGCTGGTTAGTTTTTTATTTATTTATTTAAAAATCGCATTAAAGCTGAGGTACAACCTGAAAGACAATACAGCACTTACTATCACAATCATCAGCACTTTTAATAGTTTATTTTACAGACTTATAATATGCTGTTGCTCTATTGGAATTTTCATTCCAAAATGGCTGGCGCGCCATCTAGTGGCTGTTTATCAAATCGCACTAGAGTGTTGCCTCTTGGTGATTCTATGCTCTTTTTTCTATAGTCTTTGACAATACCAATGTTTAAACTTGAAAGCTTTGTGAAATCAATATTTGGTGGAAAAACCCTGATATTCAATTCATAACAAAATCAACTGTCATGAGATTCTTTAAAAATAGAAAAACAAATAACTCCCTGTTTTAATCGTTTTATGCTGTGTATTAAGAGTCCTTGCAAAAAAAAAACTAGATTTATGATTTAATTTTTGAGTAAAGTGTCCCTTTAAGAAAATGCAAATGTGTTTTTCAATGCAGTAATCACATGTACCTATGCCATTATATTGGTGCACTTCCAGCACTCGATTAGAGTAATGATCATCCTAACTGCCACGACCTTCAGATTACATTTCAATAATCCACTAAAATTAGCCTCCTGTTGACTGAAGACCAAACGTGATGGAGCTTTATACTGTGTTGGGTGTAGTACAGCTGATGTGGAGGCCATCTGGAGTGAACATCTGAATAATATATGTGAAAGACGGTAGGAACCTGCCCTTTATGAGAACAATCATTAAATCTTCTTAACGAGATGTTTCTTTCTGAGCTTGACTGTGTGACAGTGTGTAATAAAGGATTGAGGTTATTAAGAACTATAGCCGAGGCCTTTATAAACATTATTTATAATATGCTATTAACAGATTTAGACATCTCTTCTAATTTAATACACATGCAATGCATTGTGGGAGGTAACACGATAGTGTCATAATACCCGTCACACCACTGAGGTAATAGGAGTATTAGTATGTGTTTCTCTTATGCACGAACAAACAAGATTCTAGATCTTTTTCTTTTACCACTTAATGACAATAGCAAAATGCAAAGTAGAGTTTTTAAAAGAAATATGGAGGTGTAAACCTACCCGTAATCAGAGATGACAGAGTCCAAACCATCTTTCTCTATAATAGGTGACCTAATAAACAAAAGAGGAAACATTTTTATACTCCCTGATATTATTATCAACTTCTCGTGTCAGATTTCTGTTAGATAGTCATTTATTTGGTGCGCGCAAAATTGTGAACACACCTCTGATTTTCAAGTTTGTCTAATAAAGTTAAAGATTTTTAAAAAACAGATTGACATGGCTTTGATAACGCAGAAACAGTTATTCTCAAAAGCAAACAAATTAAAATAAAAAAAATTACCATCTCAAATAAGCTTTATAATCAAACTAACTAAAATGAATGACGAAAACTGTCAACATGATACCAATGGATTGAAGGTGATGCAACATATCCACAGAGAGCTGATCTTAACTGCCATTTTTAGGCATGAAATTTAATACAAAGCAAAGCATACAGCACATATATACTGTACATACGTATATATTTATACATAAACATATAAACGTTGCTGTCAGAAGTAGACAGTGTCTGAATGTTCATTATAAAAGATATTTTCAACTTATTTCTACCTCTAATTAAGGATGACAAAGAACTTCGCCTCAAGCATGTCAAAATAATGAAAAGGCTGACTTTTATATATTATAGTACAGGTACAGCTTTAGTAAAGGCACAGCTAAACAGATGTGTTTTCAGTCTTGATTTGAATGTGCCTAAGGTTGGAGCACATCTGATCCTTTCTGAAAGCTGATTCCAGCAGCGGGGGGTGCAGAGGAGTAGATAATGGCACCTGATGATTCACCCTGCTTTAACTGAACCCTTGGAATTTCTAGTATGATATATGATACTAAACATCTGAGTAATCTGTTATGTATCTGTAACATCTGTATACCTGTCATGTATTGAGGTCCCACGCCATTTAGTGATATATAGACAAGTAGAAATACTTTAACATCTATTCTGAATGCAAGTGAGAGCCAGTGTGTAGTCCTAAGGACAGGTGTGATGTGCTCTGACTTTCTGGTTCTTGGCAGAATCCTGGGAGCAGCGTTCTGGATGAGCTGCAACTGTCTGACTGTCTTTGTGGGAAGGCCAGTGAGGAGGCTGTTACGGTAATCCACCCTGCTGGTGATAAAAGCATGAACCAAGTCCTTAAAGGAAATAAAGCATCTAATTCTTTACGTACTGCTTTGACATCTGAAAATCATATCTGACTCCAGAATAATACCAATATTCTGAGAGGGGTCTGTGCTGTGCTGTGCAATCAGAGCTGTATCCAATGCTTTTTAATGCGCTCACCTAACCCCACCCGTCACAGTGACGTCACTCACTCTATTGAGTACATTGTGTCTGACATTGCATTGCTGAGTGATGCAATATCAGCTTGCATCATAAAGGCTGCATCCAGATACTATTGAATATTCTTCACTTTTTCAAGATCAATGCAAGAATGAGCAAAAAGTTGCTGGCTGCAGTTCACTTAACTGCCACTAGCTAAACTAAAAACTAGATTTGTACAAATATATGCTTTAAAGTGACGGTTCACCCAAAAACTTTTTCTACCATCATTTTCTCAGCCTCCACCAGTTTATTTCTTCTGATAAACACATATTTGGAAGAAAGTTGTTAAACTGGTACCACTGACTTCCATATTAGTTTCCACCAGTCTCCAAAATATCTCCTTTTGTGTTAGTTTTAGTTGAACTATCACTTTAATTGCTGTCAGTGGAAAAGACAAAGAAAATTTGTGTAGAAATGCATGCTGATGGGACACTCACTGGGATGGAGATGTGGGGCTGTCCAGTGACTCTTCAGTTTTGAGTTGATTCCTAAAAGCAAACGAGACCGTGAGCAAAATCTGAGCTTTTTTCCCTTAATTGTTGAGCCATTATAATCTCAAGATCCTATTTCATCAGCTTTTAACAGTTTTCTAAACATGACACCCAATGAATGACTCATTCACTGTTTTGTTAACACAACCTCCTATCTACAAAATCTATGTGCACTACATAAACACATACACACATATACTTTCACACCAAAAGTTAGTGTACAGGAAAAAAAAAAACATATAGTTGTATTTCAGAAATTAGAGATTTGGTTTTAGCGAAATTAACTTTATCATAAGTTACGGTGTGTCAGGAACATCTACTTGTCTGTTATAAAATAATAAACACAGTTAAGCATTAACAGACAGAAGCAAGCAGCGCCTGTGATGTCATTGTTTTTTATATGAAGGAAGTTGAGCTGAAAGGAACAGGTATCATCCAATCAGCTCTCTCCAAATGTCATACATGTTATGACATCACATGCTACATTGTTGACATATGCCTTCTGATTAACCTGACACTTGTTATGTTGTTACGGTTCACATAACTCCATAAAAAAAAACTACTGAAACTTTGTTTACTTATCTTAATTAGAAAATGTCAATAATTAATAGTTTTTTCCAATGATGCCAAACTATTACTTAATGACAAAGGCAAGAACCATGAAAAAGAACTATACCCAACAGCAACTTTTTTTTATTTTTTAACATTTCCTTTGTGATAACAAACTGTCAATATATTAAGACTTGTTATATAGTCTTATTTCTTTATTTTTCATCAAATCTATTGGTTCACAATAAGGTGACTGGCTTTGAACTAATGTATAATGTTGTTTTTATCAGTTCCAATGCCTTTAGAGTTTCTTTCTTCAGAGAAAGTCTGTGTCTATATTTAAAAAGCTGAATAAAAATCCACCATTAACCTAAGCATTATATGCTGTTGAAAATTATAAATGTTAGAGTTACTAAAATGGCTATATTTAAGTAACTTTGAAACCTGTACAATATAAACTGTTTGTGTTGTACGAATGCAGTGATTTGTTGAAACACAACGTTCATCAAACAAGCACCCGAAACCATTGAATTGACATCCGTAGTTCTCTCATTTATGCAAATTGTCTTCCTGTCTCTAACTTACCGCACAATTTCCGTCCACCTGACTACAAAATGAAAGATGACAAACTTACTTTTGGTCGTCATTCTTCTTGTTTCGTCTCCAGAAACTCATCCCAGACGAGTAGAGAGGATTGTGAATCCAGCAAGAGCGTAGAGAGTGTGAGAGAGAGTCACCTGGACATTCGTTACCTGTCCTCGCCTACAGTCCCACAGGTGATCGCTGAACTTCTGCTGGAGAAGCAACAGCGGCCGTGTGTGTCTGTGCTTTTTTTTTAGCATGTGAGGCTGACAGGGAGGTGTGGAGAAACCCATTTCCACAAATAAAGAGATCCTTTGCGAAAAATTGCTGGAATGCCGCGCTTCAACTCTTGCCTGGTCTTAAAGTCCTCCGGATTCAGCATTCGCGGGTAGAAATTTGACGCAGGTCAAGTAAAAATAAAATAAGCGACAAAAACACATATATACTGTAGCAACAAACATATTAAAACATTATGAATTCTAAAAATTACTAAAATAAATGACATTTTGGATACTTTTATATTGTTTTCTACAACGGCCAGTCGTTGCTATGGTATCAGGCAACGAAAACGAATTAAATTTTATTAAAATGTTGCGGTCATAAAATCTAAAAGTTGTGGCTGAATCGGTCAATTAACGCTGAATCTAAAAAAAAACAGCTCAAGTCAGCCTAGGGTGGCTGATTTTAACTGGTCGACCAGTGAGGTTTTAGAGAGGTTTTGGCCATTTTCAGGCTGGCTTCCAGCCAATACAGAAAAAAAAGTAGCATGAACAGCCTGACTTAACCTGGACATAGCTAGTTTTGACTTTTCTCCCAGCCTAGTGCCCGTGGGTGGCACGTTCACCTCACAGCAAGAAGGTCGCTGGTTCGAGCCTCAGCTTGGTCAGTTGGCATTTCTGTGTGGAGTTTGCATGTTCTCCCCGTGTTTGCGTGGGTTTCCCTCCACAAGTCTAAAGACATGCGGTATAGGTTGAATTGGGTAAGCTAAATTGTCCGTAGTGTATGAGTGTGAATGAGTGTGTATGGATGTTTCCTGTGATGGGTTGCAGCTGGAAAGGCATCCGCTGCGTAAAACATATGCTGGATAAGTTGGTGGTTCATTCTGCTGTGGCTATCCCAGATTATTAAAGGGACAAAACCGAAAAGAAAATGAATGAATGAAAGAGTGTGTGTGGTGGAGAGATGTGTTTTTATTTATAGGCGACAATTTCAAAATTTACCCTGCTGGAAATGGCTGAAACCAGCCTTGAAATGGCTAAAACCCCTCTAAAACCAGTCTGGTCAACCAGCTAAAACAAGCTTAGGCTGGTTTAAGCTATTTTTTTCAGCAGAGTAAATATTGAAATAGTCAATTGTAAATAATAATAAAAATAAATAATTAATATACACTGTAACATGGGTTAAATCAGGTAGAAATAACTCAGCAATTTAATAAATGCAGGTACCACTTTTAACATTTTCCAGTACATGCCCTTGAAAAATAAGGAATGTCATGTCATGACTGTGAGGTAAATACACCCAACAGTACATAGCAAAATAAACAAATAAATTCAACTATTCTTGCAAATCTTGTTTCAATAATGTTCATACACTGATACAACACCCCCATGTTTTAATAGTTTAATATTTATTTTGTTTTAATTACATGTTACTTAACATATTTAAACAGTTGCCTCCAATAAGGGATATTAAAAAAATAAAATACAATTAGCCTGTTCTTAAAAGGCAGTCAGTGGCCAACATATAAGTGGTTTTCTTTTAGAGGCACACAAAGCTTATACTTACATACATACATACATACATACATGATCAACAACAGACAGAGCATAAGAGATCTTTTTAACAATAAGCAGAGCTGATAATAAAGAAGCAGCAGCCATAAACAGAAGGCCAAGCATTGGTTTGAAATGAGGAGTGTGAACATCTTTTTATTGTTTAATGCTCTATTAACAGTAGTGCTCAGAGTATTCATAAGCTGCATTAAAATGTGTGAGAAAAGCCAGACTAGACACGAGGTTTGCGATTCCCTTCTATCATTATGTTCACATAGTTCTGTG